ACTAGTTTAAAGCATTATTTCAAATATTTTCTTACACTTTCCACTGAACAACTGAATCATAAAAGTGATTTATAGAAGTTGCTTTTAGGTCACATGAGAGCTTGTTGAAATACAGCTGGCCGAGCCTTCTTCTGAGTTCGGTTCAGTAGAGATGGCATGGGGACCACACTCTTAAGAACCACGGCCTTAGAAATGTTTTATCTATGAAACACACACTGAGCTAAGTGTCCAATCTTGAGAGATTGAGAGTTAATTTGCTACAAGTGAATTTATGTATAGTCTAAGCCACATAAAATCTGTCACATGAGGACCCAAGCCAATGCCAAAGTAACACTAAATCAGATTGCTGAGCAAAAAATAGAGGCACATTTTATCAAGAGAATGTTAAAAACATTTCCACTACCCAAATGTATTCTAAGTTTAGCTGTATTTTTTTTATTTAGTTAGTATTTTACTTTTGATAGTGTTGAGGATTGAACCCAGTGCCTTCATTCATGGTAGTTAGGTAGCCTAGTGCTGAGTTCTTGGACAGTATTTCAGGTTCCGATTTCTAGAATTACTGCTTCCTACCTTACTCTCTCCATTCATGACATTCGTCATCCATTCTTGCTTCCTGGTAACATTCAGTTCCACTTCCCCATTACTCAGAATTCTTACCAGCTGACATCAGCTAAAGGTTACTTTTCCCCAGATAGCTTGTGTCAGTCATGATAGCAGACAGAAATTGCCAGGTGGCTTCTATATTGAGGCAATAATTTCTCTTCGAAACTGTGTAAGCCTCCATGTTTTGCTATCTAGATAGCGTAAGAATTAGCAAAGGGGACAAAGTCCTGGGCTTCAAATAAGTTTGAGGGATAGGAAGAGGGTAATGCAAGTAGAAAGGAGATTCTACTTCATTTAGTCATTTCCATTTTTTAACCAGGAAGCAATCTGTTCCGATTCTGCTTGGTCTAGAGGCAAGCTTCCTTCCAGGGTTGGAGAAGGATGAGGAAGGGGGAGTAACCATGGCAACCTGCCCAGCTATGTGGGCAAGGATAGGATGAGGCCCTGCACGTCCTGGGAAAAATGTTCAATTCTAGTCTAGTTTCTCAGTTTAGTCCGGGTGGTCCCTCCCTTCCCACTTCCTTGGCTAGACTGCTGACTTCAGTGGAAGGATTGCTCCTTCTCTGTAGGGAGTCTGAGAGGGTGTGGGGAAGACTTAAACAAGACAAGAGGTCATTTTGACCAAACCAAACAGCAGGCTGAGAACAGAGAGTAACTCTCTGTCTGTTCTAGCGTGAACACAAGCTAACATTCTGACTTTGTGAATATTAAGTGCTTGAAAGATTAACATTTTTTTCAGGTAGGTAGGTAGGTGGTATCCTATTTTGATGAAGAAATTCTCCATTTGCTTTCAGTACTCATAGCAATGTACAGTTTAGTTGGTCAGGGGGCCAAAACAAATAACCTAACATCTATTAACCAAGGTATTCTAAATCAATAGATTATCTTATCTTCCCAACAATCCAGGAATAGGCACTATTGTTCTTCAGATTAGAGAAGTTGTGGAGATCATATTTGGAATGAGACTTCAAAACTCAGGCCTTCAGTCACTAATCAATTGTGCTAAGTGGTTACACTGTGAAAGCTAGCCCTTCGTGTCTACAACCCAGTATTATTAGTTCTTCGCTCAGCCATTTGTCTGGGTTTTACCTCCCAAATAAAACATGATAGCCTACTTTCCTTCATAGTCACATGATTAATCTGTGAGGATACTATGACTTAGAAGTCTCAAATACACTTAGGATATGTCAAAGCTAGTCCATCTTAGTGTAACTCTAACCTCTGTAACATTTAGTGGCGCTGCTTCAACTTTAAAATTACACAGCCACACTAGTAAGAATTTTAAAATACCACATTGTGTTATTCAGGTGTTTCATACTGCCAATCTGATTCTGGTTCCATTTCTGTCTGAGGGATAGAAAGTTTTTGTGTTTAGTCAGTTCCTAAACCTCCCTGGCCAGTCACTTTGCAAACTCTCCTTCTAGCTAGGGAGATATAAGTTCTGGCTAGCCTTAGGACAACTTAAACACCTGGAGAACTCAGTGTTCAGGAAGTAGTTGTCCCACATATTTGAGCATCTTAGCTTTGTCTTTAAGAATACTAATAATTAAAGCCCCCAGTTGAAAGAATGAAAGGAAACAAACACACACACACACACATACACACACACACCCCACTTACAAAACTAGCCAGGTGCTGGTCACCAGTGTGGTGGCTCACACCTGTAATCCTAGCTGAGGCTAGGATCTGAGGATCTTGGTTCAAAGCCAGCCCGGGCAGCAAAGTCTGTGAGACTCTTATAGCCAATGAACCACCAGAAAACCAGAAGTGGTAGAACATTCGCCTTGAGCTGAATAGCTGAGGGACAGCGCCCAGGCCCAGAGTTTAAGCCCCATGACCAAAAAACAAAAACAAAACCCATAAAACCCCCACGAAAAACAAACAAACAAAAAACCCAACCAGATCAAAGTATAGTTAGTTGCACACTTGAGCCTACAGAAATACAAGAATAGATAAGCAATGAAATAGCAATATATTAATTATCTATTTCTCTACAAAGACTCCTACTGGCCATGAGCTACTCAGCAAATCATACATTCCCCAGCTCTCTTAATTCTCAGATAATTCAGGCATGAGTAAGCAGGCCAAGAAATATCACCCTGACCATCCATCCAGTCAGCAACTTCCAGAGGCCCTACACCATTGTCATACCAACCAAGAGCCTTAAAAGCAAAACTCTTCCCCTCTAATAAGAGGACTGAAATCCCTCCAACCTTTGCAGCAAGACACCAAATAGGCTTAATGAACAGGAATTTGGACTTTAGGTTAAATTCTAAACTCATAAAGTCTGTGGTAGAAATGCAAACTCCGGATTTTGTCCTTCACGTATCAGGAATGGCTTTTAATGAATATTGTCTTCCTTCCTTCACCTCGCTCATCTCCTCAGGTAAAGATCAATTGTGTGTGCTCCGCACTACACAGAATCATCACACAATGGCAAATGAATACATACTAGAGCTCAAAGGTAGAAGGCATTTTTCCACTTTTCTGCAGTGTAGTTTAAGAATAACCAGTTTCTAGGGCAGTGATTGGTATGAACGGACAGGGCTCGGAGTAGGAGGAAAAGGAGAAAGTTATTCAGCAAATACAGAAGGAAAGAATCCAGTTGGCCTTAGGAAGAAACTAAGAATCTGGAATCTGCTCCTGCAATATGCTTTGGAAAAGACCATGAGACCTTCTTTGTGCTTTCTCCTGGAGACGTTATATTCTCCAAGGTTCATGAAATGCAGTGTTTCTTTTTTTCAGATACCCAGTACTTTACCAAAAAGGTCTTTCTGCAGATATTTAAGGAAAGCCCGTATTCTCAAGACAATGAACTCACAACATTGTTGAGGCTTATTTCCCTTCACTGAGGGGAGAGAGGGAAGCTGGGGTGAGTGGGCATCGGGTCAGAGAAGGGCAGCCTAATCAAGGGGAAGAAAGGGGGCATGAGGACAAGCCATTGGTAGCTGCGGGGGGGGGGGCTCCCCCAGCCCCTTCCTCCTTCTCCAACTGCCAGTAGACCCTTCTATGTGGGGAGCCCACCTCAAGACTGGAAGCAAGATAAATTATATACCCCATCAAAGCCATTCCAGGAGCCTTATCATGTCAGACATCTCCACGACATTGTTTTTTTGTTTGTTTTTGTAGCTGCCTTCATTCTCGGGCCATTATTTCAGTTTGAGTTGTCTTGCCTCCTTCTCCCCCACTCTCCTACTTTGCCTGATTGGGGCCAGAAATTCTTTCATTAAGTCACTTTATAGAGCAACAGCAACATTTACTATTCATGAAGTCGCCCCTCCATAATTTTTAAGTCTTTCCATGTGTCTGGAGGCTTGTTCCTGCTCTTCGCATTTCATAGAGCAGATCTTTTCCTTCCAAACACACACACACACACAGAGAGAGAGAGAGAGAGAGAGAGAGAG